GTGAATACTCATATATCCACACAACCCTTTTCCACTGGAAAGAGTGAAGGGTTTGCCACTACATACAATTGCTGATGTGTACCTTTGGCTTTAGTTCATCCTTTCTTTTGATTGAGCTCAAAGAAGAAAGCAGAAAAAGGCTTGCATGTCTTTGGGCCTTCATGCCTTGACCTGTTGACCTCCTGCTTTTGAGAGAAAATAAAAGTCCCTGCTTCAAGAGCAGTTGTAGCTATGTCACATATGCTACCTATAAGACGTGGATCATCAGCTCTTTTGATTGGTGACGCAGGAAGAAAACATTCGATATTTGAGTCCTTGAAGGATGAATGTTACATTTGTGTATACCTTCTTATTGTTTAGACAGAGGTCAATATATACTGTATATAGAGGACCAATAATGTCTTCTTTCTGGGATGTGAAAGACGGGAGGTCACCCATTTACGAACAATCACTTCTTCAGACCTGCTTTACCCCGCCTCCAACACATCTCTACATGCATTTCACTCTTTCCAGCTTTAAATTGGATTGAACTTTCTATGGCTATTCAGTATTATATGGTGTTGACTGTTGATTACTACTGATGCCTGCAGTCTTCTGGGCTTACTTTTTGTAACACAGTGGCCCTTAAACGTTAGGAAAGGCCAGGGACTAGATGCATGAAACTGTAGATCCAGGACCAAAACGCACAAAGACAGAAATATGCAAAGGCATTCTTTTTCTCAGATTTATAAAGCTGCATGTACGCCTGCGTCTGTTTTATGAATCTCAATCATTGTGGAATAGGCCGCAGAGGCATAAGCCTCGTTTTCACACCCACAGTCGGCAATAAATGGATGTAGAAGCTTCCTTTAACACCCTTTTCCAAAATCAATACTTTTCTTTAATTATTATTTGTGCAAAGGGCAGTATACAAAACAGCAAGACAGTACACAATATGTAAACATTACATTGGGTTAGACAGACACAGGAATATCACTTGTGCCTGCTCCACCACTCATTAGACCTGTCAATGAGAAATACGGCAAAGTCAGTCCAATTTTCCCAATTTTCCCGCATCAGCGAGGTTCTCAGCGGTGCCAGAGCAGCTGCAATTACACACCGCTGTGGTTATTTGTAGCGTCCTTACCACTAATGAATCACATGTTTCTGCAAACCATCATCGCAGTAAATTCTCAATCATCATTATCATTAAGACGGATAATCAATGATTCATTCACAGCGCTCGTGTAGAAACTGACTTTAATAAGTGCGTCACAATTCAAGATACAATTAAACGATCATTAACAGGGAGACGATGGCTCAAATGTAAATAAAAATAAGTTTATAAGTTTATGAATGCACCTTTGATTGACATTTTAAAGATTTGCAGCTATTTTAGCTAAAACCATGTGTGTGCCGAGGTTTGCATGAGGTGGGCACATTTTCATCACAAATTCTTTTATAAATGCCAGTTTATATGTGAGAACAGGCATACGCATGTTTTTTTGTGGACTGACACATTTGGCCTTCGGTGTAGCTAATTTTCATTAAACTCATGGATGCTATAGATTTGAAAAATCTATTTTTCATCCTGCACACCTTGCTTAACTGTCATTCCACCACTACCTGGCCCATGGCCACCCTTCACTTCAATATTTCAGCACTTTCATTTACTTCTACTTTAAATTCCAACTGCACTCTCTGTCCTAATGAGGTATTCTCGAGGTCAAGTAACGAGGAGAGGCACTTTGTTTTGTTAAAGTTTTAGAGGCCTCTCTCTGTAGTCAAGAGCAGAGAGTACGTAGGAGGGGTCAGTGTCCTTGGCCGTTCCAGTCATGAAAAGCAGAACAAACCTTTTCAAGTCAATCTGGAATGAAATGGCAACAAATGAATAGCTGAGACAAAAAGAGTATATGGCATCATGAACCACATTGTTCCACTGACAGACTTCAATTTAATGATAAAAAATTATATATCAATGGATAATCTGCACGGGTGTCTCTGTGTGTTGGCCCGACTTTGCAATTCATTCTAGGATATGGAGAGATTTAAGGAGTGCCAGCTGAAAGACGAGGTCTGGCCCTCAGGATGTGTCGTATACACTGCAACGCATTCAGAAACACACACTGACTTCAGTCACCTTGATACTTCATATGCAGTTTAAAAAAAATCAGTTTAATCACTTTTCTGGGATAGGATGGTAAATAAAACCAGATTGACCTTTTCTATAACACCACTTCTCTTTTCTTAATTTTTAATTCACCTCTGTAGCTTATTGTCAACATCCATGCAGAGTTTTAAGGCATTTCTAACTTTTGATGTTGACCTGCTTTGCTGCTGTTTGTAATTTTTCATTTGTAAGCACGGAGGTATGTGACAGGGCATGAGCCTGTCCTTATTTATGAAAAGTTAACTGATTACCTTGTCATGACCTAGAATTAGTAAGGGAGACACTAAGAAACAGGACTTGTTGTAACCGTACAGGCCTTTGATAGCTAAGCTTAGGCCAGGAGTTGTTAGTGCGGGCTTCAGGCCTGTGCTAGATGGCCATATGTGAGGTGTGTTGAGCGCTGAGATGATGTGTTTTTACAGCGCAGTCTTGCTGTGCTTTGGGATGGCAATAAACCACGGCCTTCAAAGCACAGCCAAGCGCCACTTACTGCTGAGTGCTTCTCTGGTGGTTGGACGAGATTACTCTCAAAACAAAGTGCAGACAGGTTGATTAATAGAAGGGTCTGCAGAGGTGCGTGCCGCAGTATATTTTCACATCCAGCGAACACTTGTTCATTTCATTCGCATGGACTTTTATGGGATGATCCTGTCACTGTGTGAGTTTGTTACTTCATAAAAAAGGCCCCTCTCTGTGAGTGTCTTTCAGTGAAAACTTATCAGGGCTGTTACAGACATGTTGTTTTAATGTCGAGAGGGCACACTGTGACTCGAAAGGGCAAGGCACTTCACAGACCATATTGGTCCATATCAGACTTTGGGGTGTAGAAACCTGGTTGTGCCTCTAAGAATCTGGACCATATACTCCAAACACCTTTGTACAAACTGACCCAGTCCTCCGTGTGCTGTCAGGTTACTGAGCCCAGCTTCAGAGCTCGGCCGAGAATAATAAACATGACCTGAAGATGGATCTGGGATATCTGTGTGATAGAGAGCTGCAGGGTTAAAGTTGAAGTAGAGAAGCGGTCTGGCCTTCCAGAACTTGGGTCTGCAGGAGGAGAGAAGCCTCCGCCCGGTGGCCCAGAAATGCAGGACAAAGTAAGAGACAGAGACGCAGATTGGGAGAGGGAAAGACGAAACAGGGCAGGACCTTCAATCTGGAAGAGATGGCCTCGTCTACTGCAGTAATGATGAGTAGGCTCGGGGTGATTGCAGTCGTGGAGGGGAGGGAGGGGAGCCGGTGGCAGCTTACCGTTCGGTCACCCCCTCGTCACGTCAGATCACAGGGTTCTAATTAACTTCAGCACCGCATCAGACTGCAATCAGCAGAACCACAGAGGAAATTAGATTTTTCTTTTTTTTCCATGGCGTTCAAAAGCGAGGCGTTAAAATGCATATTAGCCTTGTGTTTTTAATTAACATTTTGTGCTTAGGAAGCATGTTAACAGTATGCCTTAATGAGCTTTGTGGAAAACAAGCCGCACAGAGGACAAAGGGCAACTTCCCCCTGTGTGTGCAGTTATTTATTCTAATACAATGAGATTAGTAATCATTGTTTAACCCCTCATTCAATAATGCCTCCACATAATCCCCACCTCTACCACTGTCTCTATAGACTTGGACATTAGTTGTGATAGAATGAGGCCTTTATTTATCAGGATGTTGTGTCGTAGAATGGAGATCTGTCTAGATTTGGACTTAGTTTATTGTGCACATTTGGTGTTCGCCTATACATTATCCTCACTGCATATGAGTATCATTTTTATACATATATGAAGCGTAACTACCTTTGCAGCTTTATAATTTCTATATTAAACCGGATAATTATTCCAAAAAAAAGAAATAGTTGAATATTTGTAACTCGGACAAAGTCAACACAGATTTGTTGGAGCTGTGTACATGCTCCTAGTATAACATGAGTCTGAGAGCTCCCAAAAAAGAGAACCTTGCTGCTACGGTGGGAGGTCTTGATTGATACCTTATCCTATTACCCCACCTGTTCTTATTACCATACCTGTTTCTGGCATCTATACATTTTTTGTGTATCTTATGTCTCAGTGATATGTGTCTGCTCGGTGTTACACAAATGGATTTGTTGCAAATACAAAAAAATAGAAAATAAAACCTTTTCCAACCGAGTATAGAACCATTTATGCCAGAAATCAACATCGTCTGCCTTAAGTGTGTCTAACTGAACCGTCATCTGTTTGTTGATATAAATCAAAACTTTTTTTCAAGGAAACTTTATTGACAATAAATTACTGTTTTCTTGTAGTGTTCAATATGAGAATTCAACGTGTCACCATGCCTCCTGCAGGACTTAGAAAACATTTTTTTCCCCTTTAATAAACAACTTGCTGAATTTTTGGAGATCCTGTCAATGGCTGCCAGCTCCTTGCTGGTTTATTTATTCCCTCTTGCATCTGACTGGTCAGTTATTTGTTTTCCACAGTGTCCTTGTGTGTTATAAATGGGACAGGCCCGTCTCTTCAATGCTAAGAGGATGTTTTGAGTTCCTTAAGAGATTTTTATTTATTTAATTTTTGGTTAGAGCAGAGCAGTGAATAATGCATCTCAACCGGCAGCATGTACTGTTTTTATCATTAGCATGCAGCCTGAGTTATCTGTAGAATACTTATGAGTACCGGCGAAATGTTTGTGATGTTATTTATTTATGTTGCACCTTTCAATTATTCATTTGTTTATTTATTCATAAAGGAACTAACTGAAATTGGAAAATTCATTTTTGCTGAAGGGCACTTGGCCCCACTCTATCCTCTCCCTACACAAAGGGAACGGAGGGGGTGGCACATCAGGCTTGTTAGTAATTGCTTTATGTGGTGTTTCCTTAGATTCACCAGAGGACGTCATTTTAATCCAAACAGATGGGTCAGCGACAGAAAAAGACAGACAAGTGAGTGAAAGCTAGGAGGTGGAAAGAGCATGTGAGAGAAAGTACGGATGAGACTAATTCTGTGTTTTTTTCTTTCAAAACTTACACAAGTGTTCACAAGGCTGAGCTCAGGCAACATGCAGTGATAGATGAGAAAATCTGATTTTACAAACCCCCCGACAGGACTCCACAGGTTGGACTGGAGGCAGACGTTCAGATACAGAAGCAACATAATAAGCGTTGGTTGCCTTCGGTTGTATCAACGCCTTCACACTCTCCTGGCCTCTCCATGTTATTGTGTGCTCACTGTGTTTTCTTTAATTATATAGAGATTTTGTTCAATTTCACACTTGCACAAACATGCAGCAATTATTCCTGATAAGTGATAACGATTCACTGAACTTTGAATGTGTGTGTAGTGTGTGTGGGCAAGCATGCATGTGTGTTTTGTGTCTCTGTGGTAACAACTTTAGCCTTGTGTCACAAACTGGTCATGGATGTAGAATTCCAATTAGTGTTGAACGTAAAAAGAAAAAATGATTTGTATGTCTGTGTGCATCCATAATATTCACTGATCATTTATCACTTCTTCCATTTTGATATTGAACCTTGTGTTTGCATGTCTCTCCGTTTGCACGTGTACCTGGCAGTGTTGAAGCTGGAGGGGAAGAATCAGAGACTAGAGAGGCAGATAACAGCTCCAACAGAAAGGGTACAGTGAGTAAACCTTCAGCACACATGCACCTGCTCGTAGGTCACCACACCTTATGTCTTTCTCAGTTCCTGGGTAATTAGTATAGAATATTTGTTAATATCAAAACTGCTTTTATCAAGAAAAGTGTGCCATTGGCAAAATAACCTACCAAACGAGAATAGGTAACCAAGATCTTGGTTCTCCAAGTCTTATTCCTCATTTATTGTTGATTCTTTTATCTGATCTCTTGTTCAATCATACCAATATCCCGCCATTTTTTTTACTTTTTACTTTTTCTGTTTTAGTCCTCTAGCAGAAATAGCCACAAATAATGTATCACCACCAAACTGAAAGGTTTTTAATAATGGAGAAATTCATTGTAAGTGTTCTAGCTCATGAATATGTGTAGAGTTACATTTCAATATGCATGTGGGTGATTAGAAAGCTACTGTAACTCTCAGGCTTCAGCAAAAGACCTTTTCCAAAATGGATTCTTAGCATTCTTGGACTTTTTGTTAAAAGTACCCTATTGAGTTTTCTTGTAAACGTTATGTTTACATTCAAACACATTATGTGTATCCTTGAGGCCTGACAGAAATGTTAAATGCATTTCCTTGAACCCGTCCGCAAACAAGTGTTGTGGTTGTGTAAGTAACCAGCAGACATACGGTAGAGCACCATTAGCAGTCACGTGGAGTTGTCTTTCTTGCCACCTGATGAAAATAATACCAACATTCACTCTCTTTTTAGCTAAGGTTTGGTCTCCGCTATCTCCTATCTGGCTCTTTACCTGCTAAATATTGATATATTGAAAGCATAATAAAACGTAATCAAGTGACATATATAACACACTACATAATATATTCTAAGTCACACTTTGAATGAAAAGTATGAATAGTATGTTAGTATGCGATTTCGAACACAGCCTTAGGTCGTGGTTGAGGTTACCTTGACTGACTAAAGACTCACGTGCCGAGCGAGTTTTTACTAAGCCGCTAATAAGTGACAAAATAAGTCAAGGTTGACTTTTGATGTCACACAGCACACAAACGGCAGTCTCCTTGGTGAAAGTCCTGTCTTTATTTGACCGATTAATATGTTCAGGGTTATATTTCCTCACCACACACTTTGTAGCTTTGACTGCCACAGGGTTGTCTCCCACGTCACTTTCTCGTTTTAAATCAATTTTGTGTCCGAGGGAACGTTAGCTAGCTAAAAGTGGCAACACACGTTGATGTGACTTCTTTTTTTTTTTTATCGTTATTCTTGAGCAAATTTAGATATAAAAATAACTAGCTTTGTATATTACCAAAATAAATAATTGTATTATTAATAAAACCGTTTGGCAGTACCTGCACAGCCCACTATATGGCGCTCTTAGGCCCACTGCTTGAGAATAGCTGCTTTCTGGGTTTTCACATACATGTAGTCATATGATCTATTGTTACAGATTTAAAAAAACTCATTCCCAGAGACCAAAAGGTGAGCAAGTCTACCGTCTGGCCAGGACAACATTTACCGTGTGCCCTCAGTCTAATGAATTCTATTCAAGATGCGACAGAAGTGAGGCTCATGAGGGTGGTCAGGCGTGTCACGCTCTCTTCTTCAAGGTGTCAACAAACAGCGCACAGCCAAGGAATGACAATTTGTATCATTTAATTATAGCACGCGTCTCTTGGCGCGGTTCATTTATTGTAATCTTGTTTATGCACCTTCACAATATAGTTTTTTTTAATTAGCTCAGATTGATTAAATTGCATTGATTCTGTATCCTTATTAAAACAAACCCCCCAGCGCTCTCCTTCCTTATTTTTCATAATTAATGGTACTGTGTGCCGCTTTGGAGGAGGCACCAGTGACAGTGTTACATATTTTGTAATCAATGGTTAGAATAATTTATTGCGGTGGTTGTCAAAGAGTAGCACATTGACAGGCATTTTATGAGTTTGTGGCGGTGTTGTGCCATGTGTGGCGAAAGATTCAGATATGTGAAAGTGCTGCTGACTTAAAACACCAGAAAATGAGAAATGAAGCTGAGCTCACATGTTTTGTTTTGTCCCAGTGTTCAGATCAAACTCACAGACGCCACCTCACCCGTCCACCCAGCACTGACCTTGGCTGTTCGGTCCGCAGCATCTGGGCACATATGCAGGCGTGCACGCATGCGTGCATACGTGTGCCTGCTAGTACAGAATCTCATTCCAAACCTATTGCTCGTTTTAATTTTGATTGATGACTCCGTTTATCTTTGGAATAACAATCCTCTGATACCACCCACCACCTCGTCGACACCCTCCGTTTCTCCACATCGTAGCCCCTGATTCCTCTCCCCATCACTCCCCCAGTACCAAAATGATATTAGAAACAAAATGAGATTTGAAATTTTGTGTTTGACAAGCAGCTTGATGAAAGGGATTCATAGCTGGGCTTGATCCATGAACATTTTATGCTAATCATACTGCTGGCCAAGCAATCTAGTTGGAAATTAATCAGGGGGCTGGATGGATAGAAGGAGAGAGGAGAGGAAGGTAGGTTGCTCCATAAACACCCTTCCCCCTCCTCACCCTCATTCCCTCTCTCCAGCTCTGAATCTCATCAGAAATAGCCATGGGGTGTTGTCTGTGTGATGGGGTAGGGAGAGAAATAGGGAGTTAGAAAATTACACTGCAGCTTAGCACTGATTGATGCAGTAATGTATGCAGCCATGCAGCGAGCTGCCGTATTATGGATTAGACCTCTCCCCTTCTCAAGCAGTCCCCTTCCGCATTGGAGAGGACACACACCACACACACATTTAGAATCAGATACACACACACCTCTTTAGCCATGTCTGTTCTCCTGTTATTATCATATTTATCCTGTGCAGCCTTTGGTAGTGCCTTTTCTGTATGTGTCATTTTCTTTATTTTGTGTGTGGTTAGGTGTGTATCTAAGTAGTGATTCACCAGACAGCCCCAGAGCGTGTGTTCTTTCCTCTGTCTCGTTACACCGTCTTCACACACACATATGCACTCTTCGTCTCTCTGTAGTTATTCTCTTTCCCTCTAAACCCTGGGAGTCATCATTATACTGACTCGCTAATGAAGCCATTATCAGATTTCACTCGTTTAAAACAACACAATTAGTACTGAGGCCTTAATGATGTTTGCAAGTTAAATGCAAAAGAATCGCTTTTTCTTCCCCATTTCTCCGTCTCATTTCCTCTCTCCTGGCTTGCTGCTCAGTTGGAATAAAGAGAGTAAATGAATCACTAAAGTGTTTCGTGGATGTGGGTGTGTTTGTGGGTGCATATTTCTCAGCCATGTTACAAGTCTGTGTGATTTATTATTTTTACCCCGAGAGACATCTGTTACACCATTCCTTATTTTTGTAATGCATCATCAGCCAGAGGAAAAACAATATTATCCAGTCTGGGATATTGTACTCTGGAGTCTAATAATCTAATATACACTAGAGCGGGTGTCATTAAAGTGCCAGTGGAGCTGTAGGGAGATGGTAGGTACACATCTGTCTGAATCCCCACCGGTGATCGCGCTCCATCCCACCACCTACCCCAACGTAAATACACACATACCAGAGAAAAACACAAATTTGCACACTCAGTCACAGAGCTAGTTCTGTTGCTGTTGGAGTGGTCTAGCCAGCCTGAGGCAGAGAGGAGAAAGGGACCAGGTGCTGAGCTCCAGGCATCAGAGGACAGTCCATGATAGGACACAGAGACAGGCTGAGGGCTAAGTGGACGATACATAAACCCATACAGACAACTGTGTGTGACTTTAACAAAAGTGTGTATCATGATATACCTTATTCAATCCATCTACTAATTAGAGAAGACCTCTGTGTGCTCCTCATATATGCAGGTTCTGGAGGCAGACAGGGACACATCAACATCCCACCAGGCTGGCCCAGCAGGACAGCGCTCCACCGACTCCACACAAAGACATGAATGATCGCAGGTCACAGGTCACTCCCACAGCAAGTTTCCTGAAAGTGCATGCACGCAAGTATGCTTTTTGTCCTCAAAGTATTAGAGTGTGTGAGGATCCACTGATGCGCCTGAATGCCCAGGTGGTGTTTCTGCAAGGCGAAAGGCAATTTACAATGCCAGCGATGAAGCTTTTTTTGCACACCTCACTAAAAGCATATTCTCCATTTGTTATCAAAATGACATACATCTCCTACTATCTATATGCTGTAAAATTGTATCTATGATGATCAATAATTTAACTTTTAGCTTTCCACTGTCAGTATGAGCATATTGAGAGAGAAAGATACATTAAATGAAACAGTAAAATGATCTAGTGCCATGTTCTTCCTGTATGCATGAAGCCTACTTAACAGAATGTGTTCTTTATGAGTTGTGCTGTTAAATGGACAGGTGGTTGGCTTGGGTGTGGTTTGAATGTTGTTAAAAAAATAAGCGTTGGGTGTTCTAAGAGCCAGTGTAGTGAAATGCAGACAGAGCTGAATAGCAGCTTTGTGTAATAGGTATAATGTTATTGTTGGAGTTTTTTGCGATGTTCCCTGTGTTGGTCCACACACTATTATTCTTGTCTGTCATTTTCAAAAAAACACTCTTTTACAGACGTTTATCGGAAAGACAACCTCAATAAATGCTTCTTCTGATTCTCATTAATCGAAGTCATAGCTGCCATACAGTGGGTAACATAGTGAGAAAGTGCTTGACAGTGAAAAGAGCAGAGGCCATCATGTCTGGCAATAGAGAATCCTTCAGAGTGAGAGAAATTCAGGGCGGAGATTTGGTGTTATAGAAAGGCCTTGGACTGCACGGTTTACTCAGAGAAAAGATGAATTGATATTTTGATCAGTGGCAAGCTGTATTGATGTATGCTCTTGGGTGTAAAGGTGTATGCGAGAGAGCGTGTGCATGTGTGTGTGTGCATGTGCGTGCATGCTTGAATGTGCACCTGCAGGATTTGCTGCGCATGCATATGCATGCATCTGAATGTCTCCACTGCGAGAGAGTGTGTGCATATACAAGAGCCTGTGGAGAGACAAAGAGGACAGATCATCTCAAAGCACTGATGGACTAAAGTGGAAAGTCCTGCTGAGCAAGAGATGTGTGCGTGTGATAAATAATGGGTGTTGGTGCCCAGTGGAGACCAGCAGCGGAGGTGGCTCAAGGTCTGATGGGGAGCTCCCCTCGTCTGTGATTGAAGTGTGGAGGTGCTGCTCCCTACACACTTACTTTCACAGTCATTTTCTACTCGGTCATAAGCACAGTAAACAGACACAACAAATCCCCAAGAGCTCAAGCCTGCTCATCCCACCCCAGCCTCCATTCCTGTAAGAATCCAAAGCATGTGAATGTCTGGATGTCACCCTCTTATGCCAGACCTCGATTAGCAATACAAAACCTCTTAATCACACGCACACATCTGCATGTCTCACACACACAGTCCTCCAGAGGGTTACACCACAGCACAGACAGTTAAGCAGTTGTGTCTTATATGAGTTACACACAATGGCCTATAAGTCCTTGATACATATTTATGTTCTTTGCTGCATTGTGTTCAACTATGTTATGAGCATCAAGAGTGCAGAAGGTCCAGTGTTTGGAGAGAGAGAGAGAGAGAGAGAGAGAGAGAGAGAGAGAGAGAGAGAATATAATCCTTTTGGTCAATAAGACAGTCCTGTACCCTTGCTACAGAATTTAATATAAAGTATCAGTACTTTTTTTTAAAGTTATGAAAATGATTGACGTTTTTCCATTTCTGGGTCAAGAGCCAAAAGTGTTTTTCTTTATAACTTAAAACCAGCCTCTACTTTAAATTCCGTTGGTACTACTAGCAAGAAGAAGGATAAGTTGTCAGAAGATTAGAGCATATTCTGAGAACAGGACCAAATGTGTTGATTAAGTTGCATCAAACTAATTGTGTCCGAGCGAAGGTTGAACATCACCAATTCAGAGCATGTGCTCCTAATGGTAATCAATGATATTAACTGAAAATATACCTGTTTCTACCAGAAAGAGGAGCAGAGGGAGGGTAAAGTGAAGATGCCGGGCAATTTGTGTAGATCCTGCTTCATCCACCAACTACTGAGTATGTGTCCAAGCAGTCAGGAGTTCCAACTGCTACAGTTTACAACCTGTTATTGAGTTCAGTCATTGTACTAGCCAATATAAAGAACAAAGAATGCATATACTTCATAACAAAACTATAAAAAATGATAATTATTTTTGATTACTTGAAAGCTGCATTATTATCCATGTTGGCTTCTTCTTCACTGCTTTTGTTGCGGCATTGAGATAGAATAGTGAGAGCAAAACAAATGTGATGAACTGAAAAAGGAAACATTGGCGTTTGAACAAGTAATCGCGCTGAGTAATAAAACGCAGGCGTCATTTCTTTTATTTTGATATTTTTTGCATTCTGATGTGTTATCTGATGAAAATCTTCAGATTTTTCCATCTGATGAAAATCTTCAGATTTTTCCTTCATGTCACTTTGAAGGAATTATTAGTTGTAAATTCACGTTATTAGTAAATCCCACTCTTCTTGACCCCTCCACCCCAAATTGGGGACAGAAAGTTAAAACAGAAAACGACTGACACTGGTACGTAGACTTTTATCATCATAAAATAACCAGGGACCTAAAATACCTCAGTGCCCAAGGAAGGAGGTGAATGCCCATCAGCTGGCAGGCCCTCGGCATGTAAAGTCCATACCCACAGCAGTGACTAATTGTTTGTTATGTCAGTGCTTGTCGTGCCCGTTTGCCTTTAATGGAGTGTAGTGTGGTGATCCATCAGGCTGTCGAGCAGGCCCCATGTCAGTTGAAGTGCTGTGTGTCGGTGGGGCGAGCGTGCCGTGCAAATGTGATTTACTGCCCTGCTTGTTGCACCGCGCTGTGCCTTGCCTCTTACCCACGCAATGCAGCCCCGCTCCTCCACCCGTCTCCCCTTTCCTCTTCTCTCTCCCCAGATTGATTACCAGCGCAACTGGCTCACGACACTCGCCATCTTCTGGCAACCTTTTAGTGCCGTTTTATAGATGGTTAGCGCACCTCATTTGGCTATTTATACATCTGTAAGTGGCCATGAAATATAGATTTGTCTTGATGGGTGTCAACATCGGCGCTGCGGAAGCAGAGTTCAGTGACACCTTGTTATTTTAATGGTGTGAGGTAGAGAGGCCCCACAGCAGGAGTCCTTTTCAAACATGGCTAAATTATACTGTTTTTATTTAAATTGAATGTTTACCCTCATATTATACTCAAAGCTAAACACCTTTTTCTTGCCGTGTTTGGTTTGTCCCGAGAGATGGAAATAAGGAAAGGAGTGATTGAGGATGGAACGGAACACCTTAACCCCTCTCAGACACAGGCACACATGCACAAACTCTAAACCACATATTCTATATGTGAATGTCGAGGGGGTTCAAAGTGAGAAGGATCCTTAACAGTAACATGATGTGTCATCAACACGCACGCACATATTTCACTCCGTTCACAGGCAAGGTCTCAGAGGTAATTAGGAGCTGGCACCCACTCAGTGCAATATGCTGGTTAATTGAATAGTTAACATATCAGAGGCAGGCATGTGCAGATTGAAGGTGACACCTGTCAGGAAGCCGTTCTCTCCCGACCCAGGACATTTCCCGCTCCGCCTGATACATACAGTATGTCATCTCTGTGAAAATACCAAATTAGAGGCCAGGCAGCCGAGTGCGTGCAGCGCAGCAGGTGTGGAGATAGCTTGGGGGTGGAGGAAGGCTGGCACTCCTCTGCTCTGTCCTTCAAGAGGATTTGTTAAGCTCCGGGCACCTATCCTTACTTCACCTCAGGCCATTTCCATGGGTATGTGACAGGACAGTGACAGGTGTGTGTGTGTGTGTGCAGGCTTCGGCGGGCTCTCCCTCAGTGTGCCCAAAGGCATCCAGAAGTTGAGTATGCATTGTGAAGAGGTGTGTCAACGCAGTAAAGGTGTCCAGACTCAACCAGCTCAAAGGCGGCTTTCTGACTGGTAGACTGGCATTTGCCAAAAAAATAAAAATTAAAAACGTTTTTCAAATGATACTTTTTATCTCCACAACTTGACTGACTGAGTGCTTGCATTCTTGTCTTTAGATGTCGCACCTTCAGGAGGGAGGGGATCGGCTGCAGGCGGAGGTCCTGTCAGGAGCCGCTGCAGTCAGCACGAGATAACAGCTCGAGACCAGAGGGTTACCAAACTGGAGCAAGACCAGAAGGCTGCTCAGAGCCAAACCACTGAAAGGAAGCAGGTACCAGCTGGGACATGCACCCATGTTACAGGTAGAAGCCGTACCCTATACATTCAACTCGAGAAACTCTCATACATACAATCACACACGATATACTCAGTATGTCTTCTCATATTCTCTTCAGCAGGGCAGAACAGTGATGGACTGCTGCAATGGGCAGAGATCGATCTGTAGGAAACCCAGGAAGCTCTGTGGAGAGAGGCTGTGAAGGAAGACTAAGACCACTGCAAAGACTTGGGTATGAGAAAGCAGTGCAGTTGGTCTCTCTACCTGACTGAGAAAGTACTGTCATACAGTTCTCAGCGGTTTGTGTGACAATTGCTGTAGTTTAAGACATAGTTCAAGACAGTGTATCTGTGGGTCCAGCGTATCACTTGTGGGGCACATCACACTCATCCCTTAGATACACCTCCACAGTCATTCTTCATGGTCAGATGGGGCTAAAATGTCTTGAGTCTTTAATAAAGTCTTTTAGAGGGAAGGTTCTCAGACAACTGCTCTACTGTCAGCTTCTTATCAGTCTCTCTGTTTTGTCTTTAAGAAGATGTCATTGAAATTACAAAATGAAGAAATGAAAAAGACATTGAAATGCAGACAGAATGATTGAAAGGGAATAAGTCTGGGAGAGAGGGATAAAGGAGGGGGAGTGACAGTGACAGGTCAGCTAGCCTGCAGTGCTGGCTTTAATATATTGCGTGAGACAGTCACCTGAGTACGTGATGTGGCAGCTGCCTCAGCCACTCACCTGCCCACTTACAAAACCCCACTCACACTAAACAGTCCACCATGCATATCAAGATAATATGTACATATCGATGCACATAGACACATGATCTGCAGAAAAGTAAATACAAAGAAAGTGAAGTTTCAGTTAGAGAAAAAAATGTGTAAAAAAAAAAAAAAAAAAAAAAAGGTACTTCAAAAAGTAACTGTACCTGGCAGGAGACTTTATAAAATATTTGCACACTTTAAAGTGTCACCCAGCAAAGTGGCACTGCAGAGACAAATGTGTCTTTAGGATGTATGTTTGTGTGAGAGTGCACATACATTTGTGTTTGTATACGTATGTTTCATTTTAGATGCCCAGGAAGAGGACTTTGTTGTCAGCAGGTGGGCACCAGCTGAGGTGGTGAAGACAGAGCATCTCCAGAGCAGTAACCACAAAACTACAGGTATGCTATATTCCCTTTAGTGAAATATTTGCATCTCTCAGAGCTGTTACCATATGAATTATCATGAGGAAATCATTTGACTGTTAGGGCTTTAAAAACATTGTTGTGCCCACAGACGCAACTACAGTGTGACTCTGTGTCCTGTTTCCGCTATCCCCTCACATCCCATTCCTCCCATTCCGCACCATCCATCTGGGCTGTGTGTGGGCCGGGCGCTCAATAAGCAGATCATTACAGGTCGGGGCCCTTGTGTGAAATCAGATGTTTAACTGGCCATCTGAAGTGGGACAGGAGCATCTTAACCAGCACCTTGCCAAAGGTCTCATGTTCACTCAGCCACTGGGGCTGCTGTGAGTACACCCGCCACCTGCCAATAGGCATTAGGGAGGATTTAGTAATTAAGTGATAGGCTGAGGACTAAATTGGGTGTTTGTGGGCTGGCGAGCCACCCCAAGGTCCCTACAGCCATGCAGATAGAGGATTCTAATTGCCAAGAATATTGATCAGCCTGGCGAGGGGGTGCACAGGGAATTCACTAGCCATCGATTAGCTGTTACTGCACCTCACTTGTCAATGGAAGAGGGAGGTGAGCATTGAAAAAGCTCCGGGCTTTTCCCACATTATCCCTCACCACCACCAGCTCCTGACACGCATGCACAGTCGGTATCAGTGACACAGCATGTTGTGATGAAAGCACTCTCTAACCTACCCTGTACCTCCTCCATATCTGTAAACCGACTCTATTCTCTTTTAGGCGGTCCAGAGGTGAAACTGGGAGCAGAAGAAGGGCTTTTCAGATGACTCACTACTACTGATAAAGTGCCACCTTCCACCCAGCCCCATCTTTCTCACCACTATGTGCTTTTTTTCTTTTCGCCTCCCTGAGTTTGTAAGCTCTAACCCGTGGCTGTGGTCCTAGAGCTTGCCTGCCATCTGATATTTAATTAGTGGCTTCACATGGCAGTTTGATCTCTCTCTCGCTCTCTCGCTCTCATTCCAACACTTATGGTCACCATCACAACAGCCTGCCGAACAATACAACACAATGTTGCATATTGCTTGCATCTGAAGTAGCTTCCAATCAGTGAGCAGGACTGTGTTTGACGTCTTGCTCAAAGGACACTTGTGAAGGAGAAATGTGGAAACAAACTACTAAGTAAGGCTACTTGCATGTCTGTTATTTGGATAAACAAAACATGGATTTCAAATGTTTTCTAGTTATGTTTTCTAGTTGACTCAGTTTACTTTGTCCCTGCCATCTTAGCTGGTGTTTCATATTCGGGCTGAAATTAATTGCACAAGCAGAAAAAAGGTTTGCTGCACAGCAGTCTCTATCCTGAGTCATTTAGAGCCTATTACGAAACATCAATATATAGATTGAAGCAAGTGTCTCAGTGTACTGCTCTGTAAACACATGGTCGTTCAGTTGTGCATGTTTTATCTGCTTGAATCTTATCAGGTTTAAATCTTTTCATCTTCAATTCACTTAATCCTGGCACTATCGGCTTTTGAGCCAAAGATTCCACTCCCTCTACCCTGATTTGTTCGGTTAATTCTTGACAACCTAACGAAAAATAACAAGGTAAATGACATAATGTTAATAATATATTTTTTGTTTTCCATTTAATACACATGTTTAAAGGTTCTGCATGCAAAGGTTAGATATGTTTGATTTGGTGGCTCCGAGCCATCCTTGTAATGTAAATGCTCACGGTTCTGCAAGCACAAATGGTGAAGCTTTTGGTCTGTGTGCCTTTAAGAGCTTTAAAAGCAAACTGAAGACTGCCTCGTGGACCATAAAACAATCCAGGCAGCAGAAACAACAAGAACATTTAATTGGAAGCAGATAGAGAGTGACTGGTAAGTTTTGACTCCGGTCACAGCCATGTCCACAGATAGTTCCAAAAATAATCTTAAACTTTAGCCTGTACCTCCAACTTTGCTGTTTTACTGGAATTATCAAGCTTGTGTTGACGCACCTTACTATGACAAAAAGTCATAATATGGTGCGTCATATAAAAGAGTCAGAGTATAGTATGACTGCTCTAAGGTTATGTTTTGTTTGTTTCATGTTATGAATTCACGTTTAGTGTTTTAGTTTGTTACTCACCTCTGCTCTCATTTCAGATCACTTCACTTCTGTTGTGTTTTCCCATCAGTTTTGAATGTCTGCCCCTCCAGATGAGTTTGAGTTGTACCTCGTTAGCCCTGCACTAACCAGACCTCCTTCTTACCCCTTCTCGCTTTCCCGGTCAGTCATTCACTACATATTTCAGCCCAGTTCCTTTTTTCTTTATTTTGTTTTAATTTCTTCGCTGCCACATGGAGTTTTGTTTGCTTGTAATCTGCCAGCTGTAGCTGCCTGCCTTTTTGGGAATTTGTAAGATTTTTTTTAAATTAAAGTATCTTCACTGAATCTGTCAGTCTTTGACTCTGCAGTTGGGTCCTACCTACTTGTGCTGTTTTCATCAGCTGTTACAATATTATACAAAGTCATAGATATGCGTATGCCATAAAAAAAATGTATAGTATTGTAAATCATCAAAAGTTGTAGTATAGTATGTCATAAAAAGTCATGATATGGTAAGTCGAAAAAGTGACAGTATGTCAAAAGAGTTATAGTAATGCATGCCAAAAGAAGTCATTGTATAGTGTGTCAAGAAAGTCTAGAAAGTCAAAGTATAGCATCTCAAGCAATCATGAAAAATTCAGAATTTAATATGTTGAAAGAAGTCATTAGAAAGTAATAGTGTAGTATGTTGAAAAAGGTACCCCAAAATAATCATGTAAAATGTAGAAAAAAAACACAAGATATGTTGTAAAATGTCATAGTATAATAAGTGGGGAAATTTCATTTAATATCGTTTAGTAGTCATATTAGTGGTTCCTTCTATATTTTTGGCGGGGCTAATCAATTAACCCATTGGCTAAGGTGTGCTAAGGTTTCTGGGTAACAGTGACCGGGGAGGATTGGCTCTGCTCAACCCGTGAGAGTGAGAGACACCGTAGACAGTCTTGGCTTTTTCTCTGAAAATCCATCGCCTATCATCTCCAGCCCTGTAATGTTTTCACTAACCCACCAATAACAGCAAAACGTGAAGAAGAATCATCTACTGATGCCGTCTAGGCTGGCCACTCGTGGGTAGTTCTCAGTCGGAGCTATCCGCTGTTGCTAACCGGAGGTATAACCGGAGGTATAGCCACACTGCCAGCCAGCCTTCTCTTTCAATAGCCCACTTTATGTTAGGTAATTAACTTGCCATAGACACGTCAGAAACCAAACTAAAAGCCAATCTGGCAAACTCTATTTTTGAGATTTGGCTGTGAATTACCTGCATTAACGTTAGCTAGTGGCATACGGGCATATTATTTGTAAACGGCGACACTTGGAGTTGTTTTCAGCTCATTAAAGAACCACATGTTATTAGTTTAGACCAGGGGTATTGAATCCAAATTCAGCGAGGTCCAGTTCGAGATAATTATTAGTGACCCCTGGTTTAGACTAACGTGTATTCAGTGTGTAATAGCATGTTAAAAAAAAGCCATAGAATAGCATGTCAAGAAAAGTCATAATATAGCATGTCGGAAAAAAGACATAATAGGATTTAAAAAATAGTAATTTAATGGAATGTCCAAAATAGTTTTATAATGGAATTTCCACAAAAACAGTCATATATTGGAATGTCAAATAAAAGTCATATAATAGCATGTCATAGATAATTATATTTAAAAAATTATACAATAATGAAAATGATATAATTGTGTAGCATGTCGCAAAAAGTCATTGTATAGTCTGTCGGAAGCAGTCTTAAAAATAAGTCACAGTCTGTCGGAAGGTGTTTTAAAAAAGAGAAGGTATAGAATATTAAAAAGTCAGTAAAAAAAATCATGACATAGCATGTTGAAAAAAGCCATAAAATAGCATGTCAAGAAAAGTCACAATATAGCATATCAAAAAGGTCATAACATTGCGCGCCATAAATAGTCATAATGTAGCGTGCCATAGATAATTATATGTCGAAAAAAATTGAAAAGATCAGTTTAGTATGTTAAAAAAAGTAATTGTAATGTCTCTCAAAAAAAGTCCTAGTATATTATGATGAAAGAATGACCTAAAAGTCATAACATAGTCATACTGTCACAGTCTCAGCCGTGACTCTGTTTCCCTGTGCTTACCTCCCCATGTCTATCTGTGACTTTGTGCAGTTGGCATCACACTCTTCTCTTGGCTCACTCCTGGCTTCCAGTCCTGATTACCCACATCTGCCTTCCATCAAGTTCATCACCATTCAGTTCATCAACTCCAGTTCTTCAGTCAGTCATCGCCAGATCGGTGTTGCAACCACAGTGGTAGATAGTCGCTCTTTAATGCTTTGTTTTCTGTAAAAAGAGCAAGTTTTTACAATAAATCCTTATTTAATTTCCACTTAGAGTCTGTGTCTGCTTTTGGGTCCACCTACACTTCTCATAACACATACTGTAGCATAGTATGTGGTAAAAAGTCATAGTGTTATAGTATAATATGTCGAATAAAGTCATATTGTAGTATGTTGCGAGAAGTCACAGTATAATGTGTTAAAAAAAGTAATTGTATATATAATATGTTGCAAAATTATTACAGTATGTAGAAAAACATTCATGGTACAGTAAGTTGTAAAAAGTCATAACAATATTAAAAGTCATGGTACATTAAGTCGAAAAGAGTCAGAAAAATGTAATTAAGTCATAGCATATATGTTGAAAAAGGGACATAGTATAGTATTTTGAAAAAAGTTGCATTATGGTGTTTGGCAAAAAGTCATAGTATAGTATGTCGAACAAAGTCATGAAAAAGTTAGAGTATAATGTGTCAAGAAAAAGTCGCAAAAAGTGAGTATTTTGTTTGTCATGTTTTTGGGACATTATGTCAAAATCATTACACTCTAAACCTTTTGCGAACAGTCGCGTTCACAAAGCCTTGCCTTATGAGGTTGATGGCAATGCTTTATTTACAATTCACCGACCTGTATGAAGCAGGTAAAGACAGAAACATTAAGGACACCGAGTGTCGGTGCGTATCGTTTGCGTGGCTGAGCGATCAACGGAAGCGGACGTTCAAACTATCTCAGGTGCGCCACATATTGGCGCCGTGTCATATGTTGACCATGTCATAAAGAAGTAATTCATAGAATTCATAGTTTAGTCTCATAAAAAGTCATAGCATAGTTTTTCATATAAAAAGTCATAGTATAGTAAGGAAACTATGTACACGTCAATACACATGTATGTTTTGTATTACTGAGGAGACAGCATTCTGGTTAGTGCTCATCTGTTGATATTTACGACATCCAGAGAAGCACCAGACTGTAAGATGAGCATCATGATTTGAATTCATGTTCCCATATGAGAGTCTCAACTGTGTGATGTCCAAGGTCATTTTGTCGTCTCTGAAGGGGGATTGTTTCCCCATGCTTGTCTTCTGATTGAAGCCGTGTTTATACGCCACTCAGAGTCACCCTCCAGCCATGCTCACAAATTGAATTAGTTTCAGTTTGAATTTGTGTTTCAAAACTAGTAATTATTTTTTAACCCCAGAGGACGCCAAGAGAAATGAGTCAGATCTTCACAAGTCATGAAATTTGACGATATATGAATTTACACCAACCAAAGGGATGCAAGCCTGAAGCACAGCAATTTACCAACCATTCATCTGTTAGCAAATTAAATCACACCACATATGACATCTTTTAGAAAGTTTGATAAATCTGATGAAAAAGTTTCTCTCTCAATTACCATCTGAAATTAATCTCCTTAATCCCAATTTGATCTCTTTCATGCATATAAGGGGTATCTTTCATCTGCCCACCTATGTGCTTTAAATCTCCTCCACAGAATTAGGATGGAACGTGACTGTAAAACTTAGTCCTACGTGAAACTCCAACACCCATGCAGCTCCATGAGATGGGGGAGCTGATTAGGGGAGATGAGGACAGAGGGGCGTAACTGACAGCCGCCCATTATCTCTCTCTCTGTAGCTGGTGGAGGACGGTAAGCAGTCTCCAGGAGTGTGTGACGGAGCTGCAGAGCAGAGGCATGTATGGTTCAGCTGCAGCGTTGCAAAGCAGAGCTGGAAAACAGAGTCAAGAGCCAAAAATGGAGCTTATTTCCACTACAAATGTTTATTGAAGTGGATTTTTTTTTTTGTTTCTTTTTTGATCTTTGATATCAAATTATACAACTACTTACCATTCTGCATTAAAGATGCCTGTGATGATGTGCAAGCACGCAGTGGTTCATTTTAAGGGGTCAACAGCCAGGACAGTTCAAAACTATTCCATCGGCTATTATCCGTTTCATATGCACTTTATTTTGCTCTGTACATTTTATATGACATGTAGGTGCATAGGCTCTGTAGTGTAGGACTACCAACTGTTACTCAACTCAACTTTAATTGTGTAGCACCTTTCATACAATTATGTAGCCGGAAGTACTCCTAAAAGCAACAATAACAATGAAATGTAAAAAAATAAATGAAAGTCTAAACAGAATAGATAAACACATGGCAAAATAAATAATGTAACAAACAAAGATCAATTTTCCAGGTGACAGAGGGAACAGCAGGAGAGGACTAAGCACCAAAACAAAGAGATGATCAGTCTAAAGGCCACTAGCAGAAAGTCACATGGTGAGTTACAGATTCAGAATATGCACTTTTTGTTGTCCAAATCTGCTCCCAGTATTCGAGCAGGTAGGACCATAGTTGATACAGATCAGGCCTAGTTACACACAAGCTCCCCCCTATTTAAGGAGCACTTTCACCAGCCAATGACCTTAAAGCTCTGAGCACCGCTATGATGTGAGAGCTCTATAGCTCTATATTCTGTTTGCTGCTGCCTTTAATTGAACCAGATTCAAGGATATTAATCAATTTCCTGTATTTCTGCATTTTATTACTGTATTTTATTTCTTTCACTGCTTTTTTTGTGTTTTAATGACTGTTTTTAATGTTTCAATTAATGTTCTTAATTGTTTTAAAATCTCCTTTACTTTTGCCTTATGTTTTGATGCTTTTAATGGTTTTATGTGAAGCAATTTAAATTGCCTTGTTGTTGAAATGTGCCATACAAATAAACTTGCCTCTCCTGGCCTCACCTGGCCTGGCCTGGCCTGGCCTCGCCTTGCCTATAGTAGGAAGGAAAATCAGTCTCATCTCCTTTCTTAACAGTTGGTATCAGTTTAAGATAGCCAGAGCAAAGAATGGGGCTCAATGCTGGCTCCTTCACCCCCCATTCTGGTCATTAGCGCCGACCTCACAGCCTTTTTCTCAGGGAGAGTCACAACCTCCGGAGGTCACAGTGTTTACTAATTCTACGCTACAGGCAAGATCAGATTATGTTGTCAAGAAAAGGGAAGACTTTTCTTTGCCCTCTCTCTGTATTACTAACGATGATTAGGTATATTTCCGCACTATTATGTTCTGATAATACCAGCTGGATAGTTTTTTTATTCTATTTTAGCCACTCACAGACCTCAATACTATAACCTCATGTATTAGTATTTTCTTGGTTATATATTTGTTTTGGTCTGGAGCTCCAGGTGTACACATTGTTACTTGCTCTTTGCTCTACTGTGCCATTCCTCTAATTGATGTGTGTGACTGTGCATGCATGATTGCACGCGTGTATTTCTCCGTATGTATGTATGTGTGTGTGTGTTTGTGTGTGTGTATGTATGTAAGTGTGTCTGTGTTTGTTTGTGTGTGTGTGGGTGTGTTTGTGCTAACTCTTAAGCCAAAAGCACATCTCTGGCTCATCTCTAAGGCCTGGCGTCAGCCTCCTTAAGTGCTGTCAATGTCACATGGTAACAGCAGTGCTGCAGTCTCTTAATTGGTTTAGAAAAAGCATCCTTGTCATTTTGCGGTCAGTAAACTCCGCTAGAGAAAATGAAGTCCAAGCTGCTGCCATCTCCTCAACCCCCACACAGACAGCCTAACAAAAAAAATAATGATTATGTGCCGTGTATATTTGTGCGTTCGCTGTCTGTTTTCACTTTTTGCTTTTAGAAATAATTGCTGTTGGTTGTGTGGCTGCATCAGAGGTAGGGCATTAATGATTCTCACTGGCGGCGAGAAAACACTGCTCTGCAATGCGGGAGGAGAGCAACTCATTTTCTAGAACTAAACGTGTGTGTATTTGTGCCTGAATGTGTTTGTGTTTGGTCCTTTATTTTTAGTAGTGTCCTCATTTTGTCGTGCAGTACATATGCAGCCTATAACAATTACGCTAGCAGTGAGTGCAGAAATGTGTGTATCTCTGAATGTCCTTAATACATGTGTGAGTGTGTGCTTGTGTGTGTGTGCAATGTATGAGCATGGCTGTCCTTTTGCACGGATTAGCTGGTGAATGCTGCGAGAGGATGATCAGACTGGGAGCACACCAGGGTTGCTCTGCGATCACACAGGGATTATGGGGGATGTGGAGCTGTAGTGCATTCCAGGGCCGCCTCCAGTTAGGCTCATCTCCGCCACGCTCCCCTCACACACACCACTTTAATTGCCTTTGCTTCTTTCATTACTTTTATTGCCTCTCCTCTGCATTGCGTGCTCCCTGGGCTTGTGGAAAGGTCACTGTGATGGTGTTGGTGTGCTCATAGCCTCCGTCTCCCTGACTAGCAGGAAATGGCTGTGGGGCTGACGCTGGTGGAATGAGGCACACAACAAGGTAGGAACTGACAGGCTGTTCTATCACAAAGTCTATTATTCATTTTTTCAAAACAAGTCGGTGAAGTAAGACTACACCAGAATTATATTTCAGAACGCCACCCAACGTGTCATAAGGTGGCCGCCTCAGTGGGAGAGATACAGATAATAGATCTTTACTAGCTATATGCAAACTATGATATTGAGTGGAATGCTAAGTTAGGCAAATGCATAATCCTTATTAAAAAATGGCTTTATCACCTGACAAAGTGTGGTGCTGGGCAGGCAGTGTTAATGGAATTGGCAATATCTTGGCACGGAAGCAGTGAAGAGGCGACGGCCTTTGGATGAGGGACATGTTTCTGCCTTATTGCATCCCCTGTGCACAAGAGGACTTAGTCGTGGTGGCAGCATCAGGTGACAGTTTGAATTGTGGTAAAATAAAGTTTCTCGTCCCTGCTAAATTAAAGTTACTCCTCCCAAAACATCTTCAAGATGTGCAACTTCCTATTAAAAAGAGATCCCAGTATGTTTAGTATATGTAGTACACAAGTGTTGGTGGTATTTAATCATATTCTCATCAAGAATTACATTCATTTTTAAAAGGCTCAGATTTT